TTTTTTTTCCACTTTGGTTGAAGATATGAGAGATAAACGCATTTAAAAACAAGCTACATGTTGACTGAAGCTATTTTAGAGAGATTTATATTAAGTACAGCTAAATAATGCAAAATAATTACAATAGAAAATAAAAATGTAAACCTGTACTGTTGAATGAAACGATGGATTTTTATGGAATCGTGTCAATTTGCCAAATGTCCTTAAAACTTAGATTATTGTGCGTTTAGAAAGTACACATGAGCAGCAACATGCAGGTTTGCTCAATTTCTAAATTTAAGTGAACTAAAGGGGTAAAAAAGAAAAAAAAAGAAAAAGCTAAACAGACCTGATTTTATGAATCCCAGCTGTTGGAATGCACAGAGGCAGAGTCGACCTCCGTATGAGATGCTTTGCAGAAACAGAGCTGCTGTTTTTGTCTAGATTTCTGCCCTTTCATCTCATTAATTGTGCATTAACTTCTCAAACTATAATTTCCAAAAACAATAAATATCAATTTAGTGAAAAATGCAACCAGTGAGCTGCTCCTTGAGGGTTTATTTTCCATCAGACTTAACGCTTAATGCTGCAAAGTTTGACTTTTCCTCGTCTTGTTTCTGTTTCCCAGCAGGAAGTGGAGAACTTCAAGAAGCTCAACGTCATCAGTAAAGACGAGTTTGACACCCTCGCCCCCAAAGTGCCCGTCGACCTGAACCCGGAAGTCCCGCCTCCTCCGATGCCAGGTGGATTTTGTGGAGCCTCCTGAGCTTCCTGTGTGATCTGCATTTTAATTCACACACTTCTGCTGCTGCTGCGTCACTTTATGATGTGATTTTTGTTTGTCGAGGTTCCAAACTTCCCCTCTCGGAAGGGTTTTTAGATCTTAGTTTTGAGCTGAGCCAGATTTCTCCGTAAATTGATTTCCTCCGTGGCGATAAAAGAGTTGAATTTTACTTACCTAGTGACATTAGGGCCAAACAGGCAAATACATTGAAGATCAGAAGCCTGAAACAACACATAAAGGTGCTATATAAACTTTATTAAAGAGGGAAATTTTAAGCCTTAAAAGTATAGACTAAAAACATGTTCGAGGAGAATTCACAATCTCCTGCAGGTTAAACAACACGGATGCAACGCTTTTAGAGCCGATTAACTTTGAAATACTCTGCATGAAAAAACCAAAACAACATTATTTCTGCAGAAACTCTCCTTTTAACAACAATATCTCAACACGTAGTCGTCTAAAATATGACGACGTCCATGTTCGTCGGGGCCACGTTGTTGTAATTTTTCCGCACGAGAGCCACCAGAAAATTCAGTTTGTGGTTTCGATTGTTAAAGCTAATTAATTGGGTTCGACTGTTGAGCCATTAGCCACATTCGTGCTCTCTTCTCCCCCAGAAACGTGAAAGAAAGTTCTAAAGTGCATGTTAACTGTGCTCAGGTTCTTGTTATTTAGCTGCTAATGAATGCATCCTCCAAAAACTTGAGCACCTTCATGTACAACACCAGAACTCCAAACGTTGGTTCATTCGGCTCAGGAAGTGTTCTGAGTTTGAGCAGCGATGACACCACCAAGTTAGTTCATCTGGCTTTTTTTGTTTTGCATAACGGGGAAGCTGAGCATGCTCGTACAAGATCAAAGTGTTTATTACAGCTTTATTTTTTCCATTCTCTGCTCACTCACCTTCAAAACACAGCTAACTCTGCTAACTCACTGCTTGCCTTCGTTGCTCGAGACCAGAGGGTGACGACTAAGAGGTGCAGGATGCTGCATCAGAGCCAAAGTAGCAGATTAAACTCTTGTATTTTTTTTTTTGAGTTACCGCTTAATAAAAAACAGCCACACCTTTTATCTAGTGTGCATGAAGTGTGTAGATAAAACCTACTGCAGGGGAGTTAGTTTTTGATTTGTATACAAGTTGTGAAGTAATGAAACTCCACTGATATGTGTAATAATTGTTGTTATTCTTAGAAGTAGTGCTTGTTTATTTCTATTTTTTATTTATTCTTTAAATGTTTGCACTGTCTTCGCTGCACATTTCCCCACTGTGCCACTATTAAAAGCTTATCTTATCTTAAAAGCAGTTTATTTGCACGATGCTGCAGCTGTTGAAATGTTGAAAAGGTTCTGCGCAAATACGACTTCAGGGGAGAACTCCACAGATGATAAAATGAATTAAAAAAACAAAGCCGACTGCGTTTTGTATTATTGGAAATGCAGCAAAGTTGATGCAACTTGCTCTGAAATATCTCAAAACATGAAGTAACCTCTAATTGCACATTAATATAAATTTAAAAATAAACTCAGCCTGCATTACGTGACAGTGTGTAGAAATCCTTCATTGTTTATAAAAGCTAAATAAGGGGGCTTGAAGTGTACATGTATGCAATTATTATTATTATATGTAGGAAATAATTAGCAGTAGATGATGTAATAAAGCAAATATAAATTGACATGATTCTTATGTGTGTGGTTTCAGTGGACAGTGGGGCTGATCTGGCCCGTTCTCTGCCCACGTCGGTCCCTGAGTCGCCCAGCGCCCACCAGCCCAGAACCCCGAGGACGCCTCGCACCCCCGGACGCCAGGACCCCAACAAGACGCCCCGTTTCTACCCCGTCACCAAGGAGAGCGGCACCATCGATGGACAGGTCGGCACTAGTTTCTGTCTTTACGAAAACAAGAAGAAGAAAAAAAGCTGCTCTCTTTTATCGGATACAGAGAAACGGCGTCCTGTTACGTCCCTACAGCGAAAGAGGATCGTGATGCTGTTGTTGGTCTTTCAGGTGTTTAACAGCAAGAAAGACCTGAAATTAATGAAACACGAGACGTAAAATTATCTTTGTTTTTTCATACTAGTGGTGAGTTAGTGTATAACTTAAGCTTTAAGAAGCCTCAAAGGAGTTTTCCCTTCCTTGTTGTTGCCTAATCACATTTTTCAGACCTCTGAGCATCTGTGAAGCTTCTTAGACGTTGTAAATGTAGAACAATGGGACAGTGTGTGATTTTTATTACTCACACCACACATGGGTGTCACAACTCTCTGAGCTGCAGGCTGGCGTTGACTCTTACCCTTTAACTCTCACTTTTTTTTTGTTTTACATTTCTGTCGCCAGTATTCCTTTGTGTCGCAACTTCTTTTCCTGTTGTGCTGCGAATATTTGCATATTCTCTACATGTTTCAGCACGAGCTCTAACTTCATGCCCGCTCTGGTATCTGTTTTGTGTTTAGCAAATACTTCTCGAGGTTTAAACCCTTCTCTAGATATGAAAATGAAACTTTGAAAGGTGAAAACCGTGCAGCAGCTACGTATTTAAACCCCTGTTCTGTCCCCGTGTCTGCTCTAGACGCCGAGGAAGAAGAAGACCCGCCACAGTTCCAACCCTCCCCACGAGGCCCACATCGGCTGGGTGATGGACTCCCGCGAGCACCGGCCGCGCTCTGCGTCCATCAGGTCCGACTGTTTTCAGTTTGTATTCGACTGTAGCAGGTGAAGTTCAGTTACACATAAAACAACCAAAAGAAGAACCCAAAGTAGTCACTTCTCCCTGAATCTTCCCTTTGCTGCTGCTGTTCTGCTTCACATGTGGTCTGTTTTTATGGAGACGGGTTGACGTGCTGCATGTAGCACCACATATCAGTTACACTTGTCCTGATTAGAGGATATTTAATATGAAATACCTGCAAGTGCACAGTTACATCTGCATTTTCCTGCAAGTCGCAGCTGCACAAAGAGAGAACTGAAGAGCTTTAGACTGATTTTAGTTTGTTTTATTTGAAAAAACACTAAACCTCAAACACAGCTGTAAATGCGGATCATAAATGGCTGTTTTAGCTTCACTTTTTATCATCTTTGCACCCATCTAAATAGATTTTTTAATAAAGCGACGCTAGCACTGTAGTAGTGCTACAACCAATGATCTTACTATAAGGTGCTTTGTCTATTTTTTTTTAAGATTAGTCATTTAATCAACATATAACAATAGTATGACTCGTGAGAGAGCTCAGACTTGGTTAAAAGTGATATAAACGAGAGAAAAGCAGCTGATTTTTCCATCGCAGACAGTTTAACTCCAAACCTGCAGTTTTAAAGTGTCTTTTCTTTCTTGTTTTTTTTCTTATAAACCAAAATTACACCAACTATGAGAGCGAGAAACAGTAAAACTGAAATACTTCACACTTTCTGACGGTTTGTGAGCAAGTCATGTGACATTTAGTTCTGTCTGGAGAAGCCTAAAAATACGATGCTACATCAAAATCACTTTCCTCTACATATCTCCTTTAAAAAAAACAAAAAACACTTTGCATGAAACAGATTCGGTAAAAATTTTCCGCTCCATGACTGACTCGTCTATGCTTAAACAATGACAGAAATCAAGGGACTGATTGATTGAACTGCAGGCTGTGTTTCCTTCGAGCAGAGTGTAGATGAGTGTAGAAACAAACTAGAGCAATCGAAAGCAAAATAAACAGCGAACAGAGGATGCATTCAGCACGGTGAAACGTCTTTCTGCGGCTGATGTGCACAGCTGTGAGATTGTAAAAATGTAAATAATAAAATATCTATAGTATGTAGAGCAGAGATCTCCAACTGTGGTCCTGGTGAGCTACTGTCCTGCAGGTTTTAAATGTTGCTGCAACACCCCTGACTCACATTAATGGATCATTAACAGTTTGTTGTCAAGTTCTACACAAGTCTTTTAATGATCCATTAATGTCAGTCAGGGGTGTTGCAGTAACGTCTAAAACCTGCAGGACAGGAGCTCACCAGGACCAGAGTTAGAGATCCCTGGTGTAGAGCCTTCATTTTAAAAAAATATATATTGACACCTGTAACACCTGTAGACACCTGGAAAAATGGAGAATACGTTGACTACAGCGTTTTCCATTTTTTTAAAATGATGTAAACAGATTTTTGTTTTTTTTATTCAACACAGAAAACATGTTTAAATTTGTGCTGCTGCAGTGAAAACAAGAAGAAACTGCTTGAATTTGAGAGGATTAACCTAAAATATTTGGCATTTTGTTGTATTTTTTTTCATTTCATTTATGCCAGACATGCCACAGTGTCATGAAGGCAAAAGAGGAAAAATTAATACATAAACAAAACAAATGAACCAAATACAAAACCTAGAACAATGTCTGAAACACGAGCAGGATGAAGCTTAACTTCTGCCTTCTTCTTACGTCAAATCTTCTACTTTTATGCTTCTTTTGAAACTCCACAAGCACATTTACTTTTCCACATTATTGTACTTTTGTTTATTTTTTTTGTATTCTTTTTTTTTGTAGTTTAATAGTTGTTCTCATTTTTAACTCCTCATCCAGAACGTTCTATAAGTTCACCCCACATATTGAAAAACATTCTATATCTTAATTTTCATTTCCACTTCTGAACAACTGTATTTTCTACAGGGAGTAAGTTGTTCCTTGCTGCAAACATTATTTGTCTTAATTTTAACTAAATCAACAGAGCAGCACCGATTTTCGTGGCCGATAAACTGGCAGCTGGTTCTTGGTGTTTCTGTATTTGTTTCCTCTTCGGCCACTCAACCGTCTTTCCCTCCACAGCAGCTCCAACGCTTCCCCGTCAGAAGGAGCTCCGTTGTCGGGGAGCTACGGCTGCACCCCCCAGTCGCTGCCCAAGTTCTGGCATCCATCCCACGAGCTGCTGAGGGACAACGGCTTCACCCAGCAGGGATACCACAAGTACCGCCGACGGTGCCTTAACGGTAAACGCCTGCTGCCACGCGCTCCATAAGTTTGAGAATTAAATGTAAATATTCCAAACAACAATGACGCTGTTCTCGTGCCTGCAGAGAGGAAACGGTTGGGGATCGGACAGTCTCAGGAGATGAACACGCTGTTCAGGTTCTGGTCCTTCTTCATCAGGGACAACTTCAACAGGAAGATGTACGAGGAGTTCAAACAGTACGCGCTGGAAGATGCCAAAGAAAATTACAGGTCAGGAAGAAGGCTGGGTGATGGTTATGAATGCTGCTCAGCTTCATGCGAGCGTGTGTCTCTGCCTGAGGCGGGAAATGTTGAAGTGTTTTCATAAACTAAAGCCCTGAAGCCCCTTTTTTTTAAGGTATATATAAGATCTGAAGTCAGTGTTGATGCGTCTTTACAGCAATGACAGACTTAATAAATAATTAATTCCAAACTATTTACAGCTTATTAAATGTCAAATTTTACCCAATTTGTGTCCCTTTAAATTGAAAATATGAGCAGTTGGACTTGTGGTTGGATTGCGATTGCTAGCTGCAGCCTTACAGTATTTAATCCACTACATTAAGGTGGAATAATTACATTTACTAGGGCGGCATCTAATTATACATACTGGATAATTAGATAAATCTGTATCACAAGCTTCAGGAGCGCAAAGTAAGCTTACCTTTTCTGTCAACAAATTAGAAAAAAGCAGAAAATCCTCACGTTGAAAAAGCGTTTTTGACCATAAATTATCTATATGAAGAGTTCATGTGCAAAAACAGATAACTCATCTACACAAACCTCCAGAAAACCCACTTTTCCATCGTCTACCTGAGACAATATCATTTAAGTTATCTCCATTTTTGTCATTTCCACTGAGTCACATCCACTCAGCTTCAGTTTGATTGATATCATGTCAAGCAAACAACAACAAAATAAGTTTCCTGAAAATCTACAAAAATGGAGTTTATCTGTTTTTGTAAATGAACTCTTCAAATCATCATCAATATTAGTACTTTTGTTTTGCTTTTTTGTCGACTAAACTACTCATCATGTGACCACTAATGTTTGCATCAAGTGAAGCTTTTGCTGCTGTTGTGTTGGGAAAAAAAAACTCTGTATGTGCACAATATTGACTCCTAAAGAAGAAAAACACTTGATACTATTTTGATTTCTGTGCATTTCCTACAGAGATCGCAATGTTTTTTTTAGATATTCATAAAACAAATAAAAAGAACAGAAAAAAGTGCAGCAGTGAGTTTAAACAAAGAGTAAAGACAAGAGCTGGGAAACCTCTGAATTCACACTTTAGTAGCGACGACACCTGCAGACAGGTACAGAAAGGCTTCTGAAGTCTCTTCCTCATATGATCCGTCAGCGTCTGCAGCAGCATGCGGCCGCCATTGTTGGACAGCAGGAGGTTAACGGGGAGGGCTGCCCCTCTGGAGCATTGTTGTGTTACTGCCAGAGGCTCCTTCACACACCTGCCAAACCTACATTCTTGTCTAAATAAGTGGGTGGCTGTGCGTTGAAGTGAGGGCGTAACGAAGCCGTCAGCTGTTTGTGCACAAAGCTCGTCCGTCTGGTTCCTCCGACAGCCATTAATAATCCAGCACACACAAGTTGTGAAACGTTGGAGGCTCGTGTGGGAAAATGGCTGATTAGAGAGCTTACGGGGAAGCTTCACATTAACATCCTGTTGACAAGAATTTAAAAAAAAAAGTGAAACCAGATTTCTGCAAGGTCAATTAGTTAGAAATACAAAATAAGCATTGAAGCTCTTTAAAGTGACTCATCTAATTCACAACAGGTGCAACCAGCTGCTGCTAGAAGTCACACAATTAGTGAAAATTAGATAATTTGATGGCAGCGAATGTGTCTCAGTGATTATAGTATCAAGACACCTGTATCTGGAGGGTTCAGTCACTGGTGAATCCTGGATAGAGCTACACCATGAAGACAAAAAACACTCCAAGAAAGCACAAGTCAGGGGATGGATTCAAGAACATTCATCCCTTGGAATACAGTTAAATCCATCATTAAGAAATGGAAAGAATATGGCGCATGTGTAAATCTTCCTCTAGCAAGTTGTCTTCAAAAGACCGAGTGACTGAGCAGGAAAAAGGCTGATGAGGGAGGCCACCAAGACACCTATGAGTCCTTCAGAGGACTCATAGGTGTCTTGGTGGCCGATGACTCCCCTCAAGTAATGCTGACTTGAATTACCGTAATTTCCGGACTATTGAGGCACCTGAATATAAGCCATGCCCACTAACTTTAAAAAGAAACCCAGTTTTGTACATATACAGGCTGCACTTGTCTCTAAGCTGCAGGTGTCCACGTTTTAACACGAGATATTTACACAGGAAGATTATTTAAACTTTTAATTAAATTCGTACCGGTAACATACACAAATACCGTAAATGCCTTTTTTCTGAACAGTGCCTGTACCACGGCTGGTTAAGAAAATACAGCAGCCTACCAGGAAAAGTCACTGATCGCTATCTTCATCTTCCTCCTGCACTAAAACCACTGAAGTCGTCTTCTTCAGTGTCTTCAGGAGTTGAACAGCCTCAGAATTACTTCCTCACTTCCTCAGTCTCTCTTTCGTTGTCGCTCTCAATGTCACTTTCATCTTGAGGCAAATTCGTAAAAATCCATAAATTAGCCGCATCATTGTCTAAGCCGCAGCGTTCAAAGTGTGTGAAAAAAGTAGCAGCTCATAGTCTGGACATTACGGTAAGTCAACTGTCAAAGCGATAAAAGTGGAAAAACTTAGACCAGTGATTACTTTCTGTAGACACTGTATGCTGCTGTTTACAAGCCAGATTTGTTGACGTGCTCCAGAGGTCAAGTAAACGTTTGTTGTCGCCCTGCAGGTACGGTCTGGAGTGTCTCTTCAGATACTACAGCTACGGTTTGGAGAAGAGGTTCAGGTTAGATCTATTCAAGGACTTCCAGGAGGAGACCCTCAGAGACTTTGAGAAAGGTAACCGACGTCGAGCCCCAACTCTCTGCTTTCACTAAAGATTTCCAGGATGTGTTTGCTCATTTTTATGTATTTAAAAAATGGAGAAATGTTCCACAAAAATCCCACACAGCTCGTGTTAATCATAATATTTGGCTTACCCAATTTAAACCTTTATTAAAAAACGAATAATAAATGATTTGTAACACAGTGTAGTGCGGTTGTAAACCGATAGAACGACATTTTGTTTGTGTTGATGTCTGACTTTTACTGCTAACAAATGATACCTACGGAACAGTTCTAATTGTAGGCAATAAGACGTAGTTTTAGATATGTTTAAAACAGATTAAAACTTGCAGTAAGTACATGCACACAAACTGTTAATAAATGCTTCAAAAGACTATAAAAGCCAGTTTTTGATTAATTTACATAACTGTTACTCATCACAAACTATTTGAAACCTAAAGCTCAACCTTCAAATGATTTTTTTACCTGAAATTTAATTTTTTTTTAAAAAGTGAAACAGTCAGATTAGTCAGTGTGTAGTTGTAAGCATCCAGTATTTGGTTATCAGACATTAACTGTTCGTAAAGAGGTTACAGGTGCTACACATGAAGAGTTAACACAGATGCCCCTATTGTCTGTCTGCAGCTCCATTATGTTGTGTCATAAACCACTCGCTGCTAAATATTAACGATATTTGTGGTGTAAACCTACTTAACCTGACTTAAGAGTTCACGGAGCAGTTTTTACCCCTCTGAGCTGAATGTGTAACCGTGTTAAAAGAGGGCAGAAAAAAAAACGGATTAAAGTCAATTTCTCAACCGATTTCGACACCACGGCTCAGTGGAGCAGAAACGGAGCCTCTGCGGGCTTCAGCCTCTTATTTCCAGCTCAGCGGTTCTGGTGTTAAACGTTTCTCAATCGGAGACCGAAATGTGCGAGATGTTACCTGGAGAAACGACACAAAGTGCCCCGAAATGTTTGACTTAGAAAAGCAAGTGTTTTATGCTTTATGGGGCCTGAATTCCCTTTTCTAGTTGTCGGTAGGTATGCTTTTAATATTTATAGTAGATACTCGTTCAGGGTTTAAAGATCCAGATAAGAACTAAAGGAAAAAATACTCAAAAACTGTAGTAAAACTGCTGGAATCCAGTTTAACCCTTGAGCGCCGACAGGTTCTGGGTCCCAATTATAACTGCAACATAAAATCCTGTATCTCCATGAAAACACAACAACTACGACTAGAAGTAGAGACGACTCAGATGTTTTCTGTGCACCGCAACAAACTTATAATGCCATAAATCATTTAAAAAATTAGAATTTGTGAGGTATTTATTTCCAAAAATTAAAATAAAACTACAATCCACCATTTTTCCGAGTTTCCACAGATGTTGCCAACGCTGGGAGAACACAAGGTGGCTCCACATGCTATAGATATCTTATTTTTATTTAGTTTGCCTCCTCTGTGCTCTGTGTAAACACCGCCTGCTGTTCAGCAGAAAAGCCCCAGAGTTTTTGTCAGATAGTTGTAGTAGGAGTGTTTGATTTTTTGGCATTGTTTTCTAGTGCAGATCGTTTATTTTGGCAGAATAAAGTGTTGTTGAAACTTAGGTTTGGTTAAATTTCACGACAGGAGGAGGCATCACAGAGTTAAACATCTCTTGTTTTATTTTTCTGTTTTTGCCTCCGATAAATGGTGTAGTTTTGGGCGATTTCTAAAGAAAATAACTTCCCTTTCAATCTAGATTCCCAAAAATCCAGAGTTTAATTCAAAACACTGAGGTTTTTGCAGTTTGTTTATATACGACGCACGTGGTATCTGCAGCGTTTAACGGAGAAACGGAGCGGGCCAAAAGTGTGTCCGCAAACATTACTACATGATGGCAGCAGGATATAAAAACAGTTCTGTCCTAAATGCAGCCAACCGTCACATATCTGAAGGCCCCGTGTGATTGAGAGGTTCAGGTTGTTGAACCACAGTCTGAACATTTTCACTCTGATTTCTCTGCCGACATAAGAATCTGGTTAACTTTGACCCACATTTAGTGTCCTCTGTGAACCCAAACTTTTATTAAATGGCTCCATTTGTGTTGGAAATCTTCTGGTTTGCGCCGTACATGTATCTGACACTGTGAATCTTTCCCGTCTTCCAGGTCAGCTGTATGGACTGGAGAAGTTCTGGGCCTTCTTGAAATACTCAAAGATTAAGAACCAGCCCATCGACCCGAAGCTGCAGGAACACCTCTCCCAGTTCAAGAACCTGGAGGATTTCAGGGTGGTGGTGAGTGTCCACCGGACGTGTCTAAATGCTGGAAACCAAATGATCACATCTGAAGTTGATGCAGCTGTTAGTCGTTTACACATCTGGCGTTTCGGAAGCAACTTTTCTCCCTAAATGAAAGTAACACCAGCGATAGTCTGAACATCGATGCCTCTCTAAATCCTTTTCTCTGCCAGTAAAGACGTCAGGAATCGCTCCGAACTATCTGTCGCTCGTTAATTTATTTATTTTGTGTCAGCAAAACGCATTAAGAGCCTTTAGAAGCTCCTGCAGTTGAAACTGAGCTCAACGAACCACTGCAGGGGCTGATTAATTTTGCAGAACTCACCACAAACAGACTAGAAAACATTCCTTGTTAGGTCGAGGCTGCAAATAACCGATAATGCAACAGCACGCTTACTTGTGCAATCGATTAGGAAGCTTCGGGAGGAGCTCAGAGCAAGAAAGCATGGGTATATTCTACGCTGAAGTCTGTCTGTCTTCTGTCTCACAACTCTTTGGTTTCTCTTCGCTAAGAGGAGCTTCGACTCAAGAGATGCTAACATAATGACAAGCAGCCCTCTCCAATTTAAAAAGATTCCTTGAATATGACAACCCCCACTTCCTCACACCTGATTTCCAGATGTACAGTATCGTCAATAATATGTTTTGGAAAAATGCGCCTTTTTTTTGCATTTTGAAAACACTGCTGAACAAATCTGGCAGCGACTATCTGGATTGATATTTGGTCTATCTGTATTTTTATTATCGAAATTACCAGAAAAATAATTCAGTGTGCTACTTTGGCACTGATGCAGAAACCTTGTGGTCTCAGCGATGTCCCGCCCAGAGCACCGTTTGATTGGCTGTTAAATCTCACTAGTAGCTCCTGATTGTTTACACAGAGAGACAGATGAGCACATTTGCAGACTTTAGCATCTTTGGTGAATTGGCGGAGTTGTGTTTCAACGATGAGCTAGCAGATGTCACAGAAGTTGTAATAAACACCGCGGTGTTAAATAAGAATGCCAAATTTCCCCTAAATTGCCAGAAGGATTGACTTGTTGGTGCTAGGCTACAGCTAACACTAAGAGGTTTGCTGTACCTCTTAGCATCTCTTAGAGCCATAACATCTTTCTTAAGTCAGATTAACAAGCTGTTCTCACTGACAGACGTCTCTTTCTCGCAGAGACATGACCTGCAAGTAAATTATCTACTTTCGCAGTGACTGAGGCTATGCTAACGGCTAGCGACTAGCTCAGGAGGCGACCACAGATCTGTGGTTGCCTCCTCAACTAGGGCCTAAAGTCTAGAAAACAATAACGAATTAAGCTATGAGATCTGGACCTTAGCGGGTAATAAACCTTAGAGCAGACAATAATTAAGAAAACCAAGAAGAACAGCAGGAAACGACTGATCGAAGAGTAAACGGACGAGAGCATCCTAATAATAATAATACATTTTATTTGTCATCACCTTTTAGAGCACTCAGGGATGCTTAGCAAGAAGGATAAAAACAACAAATGACAATAAAACAGCAGATCCTGACGTCATCACTCCTGTTTCTGTTGCATATTCAGTTATAATAGTCTTTATGGATGAAGATGATTGGTTATGAATGAAGGGTTCCCTCCTGTTACATGCTGTTAGTATGTAGTTTATATCGGTCTTTCTTGATTACCAATAATCGATAGTGTCAGTAACCGTTTTCGTGTTATTTGTCGGCAGCCCCCGATGGGAGAGGAGGGAGGCAGGAGGAGACGCCACTCGTCCTCGGCCGGGGACGAAGGCAGGCGTCGGCGACATCCTTCCAACACTACCTCAAAACCCACGCAGGCCTCCAAATCCTCCAACATGGCCGCTCAGCCTGCTGCCTCCGCCGCCGCTGCTGCCTCCACCTCCACCGCTACGACGCCCAAAGACAACGCCCAGAAAGCAGCAGCAGCTCCTGCTCAGGGGAAGAAAACCGACGGCAGAACTGCGAAGAAGGAAAGCGTGGCACCAAATAAATGAAGCTCCCTCCTGCTGGTTGTGGGTTTGGATGGAAGAGATGCAGAGCGAAGCGGCGGCGGCGGCGGCTCTCAGCTCGGCGTTCGCTCTCTTCAGCAGCGAGCTGTTTGGGTATGAAGAGGGGCCGAGCGTGGTCGACTTAATATGATTGTTTTTATCAGTGCATTTCATTTTAGAAGCAAAGCGTAGGCAGCGAGCTTGAATCTGTTCGCCCGACGAAACGTTTACAAAGCAAACACACAAAAAAAAAAAACACAGAAAAAATGCATTCCCTGCATTTTGCCTTGTCACTCTCTCAGATGCCAAACTCTTCACCGTTGATCGCTACAATCTGTAAAAGAAAGCAAAACAAAACGCTCTGGTCCGTGAAGAGCTGCTCAACTGTGATTCTAGTTTGCCAAGATAAGAGTCTTGTGTGCCTTAATCTGATCCACCAGGACGTCAGGAAAGTGCGAAAATTGTCCAAACTCTGCTCTTTTTTTTTTTTTTTTCTTCTTTTTTTAAAGTCTTCCTAACTGATCATTCAGCGCTTGAATGTGTTTAAAACTGACACCACGTGCAGGTTTTTCTGTCCTCAGCTTCCGTTTTTCACCGTGACAATCAAGCAGTCGTAGGTTTTGTGAAGGAGTGACCCCGAGGCTGCTGCTCGGCAACACATGTCCTTCAGTCTGAACGACAGAATGTTGGTTTTTAATTAAAGCCTGCAGAAATAACGACAAATTGATCTGGGAAGCTTTACTTTTAAGTCCCGTTTTACACCCAGAGTTAGTATAATTTATTGTTTTTGTTTTTATTTTTCCATTTACTTGATTGATGGAATAGTCTTAGGTAATCATTGCAGTTTTTAATGGCTTTTGCTATTGAATATATTAAAAATAAAATAAATTAAAAAAAAAAAAAGTTTCTGCTGGAATTATGGGTGTGAGCTAGCGTCATGAAACTACAGTATATTTTAGCTTGAAGTTTTATTATGTTTGAGGCTTGGTGCTCTAGAGCACTTTAATCGTTAACTTTCCTTCATCAGTGGACTTAAAGAGAGGTTTTAGAGGTTGAATTTTAAAAGAAAAAAAATGTAAATACTATAAAAAATCATTTGCTATTCAATTATTCTTTTTGATTTTAAGAAGTGATTTATCGGTAGCGTGGTTTTGAGTGTGTTCTAGGATAAAAGCGATGCATGTCAATGAATTGTAAAATGCAAAAAAATATAAAATAACAGTTGATTGTAAACCAGCTTGTGTTCGTGTGATCTGTCCCACTTTCTCTCGCCTCCCATACGTCGCCGGCGGCTGAGCCATGGAGCCTGATCAGCAGGTTTTTGTTCCCAGCTGCAGATTGTTCGGGGTGAAAGTCGTCTACTGTCATCGCTCGGCTAATGACGTGTGCCGGCTGTAATTTAAATTAAAGACACATTTGTTTCAGCGGCTGCAAATCGCCACACCTCATCTCTTCTGTTTACACCCAGCATGCAGGTAGCAGAGATAAGAGATAGAACAACAATAAACACCCCCCAAAAAAGAAGGAAATACTCATTTATTTACTCAGAAATGCACCTCCTACTGCAGCTTCACATCATAAAGAAACACGACAACCTCATGAGTGAATAAACAAAACATTTCAGGAAATACTTGAAATAGTTTGAGTGAAAAAAACATTAAAATTGCTGCTGTTTTATTGCATTTAGTGTGTGTTTACTCCACTACGGGTCCCGATTGAGGGACAAAAAGCACCAAGAGTCCGCTCATAACCTCAAGCAGAGGGAGGCGGGTGCTTTGCTGCGTTCAGAGTCCCTCGTAAACTTCAGCACTGAGTGAGAAGTGGATTTCAGTGTTGGTTGGTGTCGCTTCTTCTTTGGCCTCCCTGTTTAAACAGCTTTATAAAGTGTTTTTCACTAAATTTGCTTACTTTTATTGAGAAAATGCACAGTTTATATGGGACACGTTATCAATGCATGACCACTAAATGTGAAACATAACGTGGAATAATAAATAAATCTAAGAAGATGCACCTTTTTAAGCACAAAAACATCCAATTATGTCCTTAAAAGTGGATTTCGACCAGAAATGTCATAAGACCTGTGTGTCTGACGCTTTATTCCAAATGATTTATGAATGTAAAGACTCTGAGATGACCTTACTTCATTGATAATTAATTTTTTATTTAAAAATATCAGAAAAATCCTCAGATTTCTGGGTTGGACTAAGCTCCCAGTGTTTTTAAGGTCCTACCAACGCCTCTGATTTTGAACAGTCATTTGCAATATTAGTTTCTCAGCAGTATGTTCCATATTAGTCACAGTATTGTGTGCAATATTTACGTTTTTATAGAAATATTCACAGATTTCTGCAAGATTTCCCTAATTTTTGTCTTTTTAACATTGAATCATGATCAGTTTAATTTGGCTTTTTCAAAAGAATGTGCAAAAAACCTTTTTCATTCATGTGAGTTTTTTAAGACAGCAATGTCAATTTAATAAAAATATAAAAAATAAGTGATTGCATAAATATTCACCCCCTTTTTAGATAACTTTGCTGTGAGAAGTGAGAACACATTTCTATAAAATAATATAAAATAAATGAAATATAAAATGCAAAACAAGGAGTTGCATAAGTATTGGCTAACCGTATGCACCTGTGGCAGATAAGGTGAGTCACTAATTCTATATTTTACATTTTTAATTAATTCCCTTTACATCATAAAATTCTGTTTTCACTTTGACATTAAAGAGTCTTTTTTCTAAGTTACTGTCTAAAAAAATCCAAATTATACTGAATAATTTAATGATAATAAATGATAAAAGATGAAAAAGGGGGTTCATATTTTTTAGAGGTGCTGTGAAATGGAAAAATGCACACAATAGTGAAACTGATGTTGAACATAATGTTATATAACAGACGTAGATAAACTTCAATGATCCACAGGGGAAATTGTTTTATCACAAAATAAATAATTATACAATAATGTACAAAAATGCAACAACACATATTTCTGTATGTACAATTTCACATTTTTTTTTAAGTCAAGAAGACAGAAAAATAGAAAATAAATACGGTATTGTCATGTGCAATGTTGTTTTATTAATTCAGCATTATAGACAAAATTTCTTCTCACTTTTCTGTTGTAGTTTTATTTTTAGATTCCTTATTTTTACTTATATTTTATCACTTTTCTGCATTTATTCTTACGTTGTGATTTTTTTTTTTTTTTTTTAAGTTAGCAATTTTTGGCACAAGACTTTCCGTGAATTTTGTGTTTGTTTTTATGTATTTTTCAATTTATTTAGCATTTAAAAAGTCTGTTATGAGAGTTCATCCTCTTGGCTCGGCTGATGATCCGGCAGCGCCAACAGTCAACCGGTGGCTCCGCGGTTGCCGACGGGCCGTGAACGCAGCAGCATCCAGGGGCGGGTAGGCGCTAACCGAGCAGTATGGCGGACGATGGAGACAGTTCGAGCGGACCAGTTGACACAAGCGGCGGGCAGGGGGCAGCGGAGGAGTCGGACGGGCTCGGCCTCGGCGCGATGTTGCTGAATATCAGTATTCTGATGGTGGTGGTGGCCGTCTGTCTGGCGGTGTACCGGCGGTGGGGCAGGCGGCTCGGCTCCGACGCGGCCCAGGGCGACGAGGCCTCGGCGCTTCCCAAGATGAGGAGACGGGACTTCACTCTGGAGCAGCTGCGGGAGTACGACGGGCTGGAGAACCCCCGCATCCTCATGGCCGTCAACATGAAAGTTTTCGACGTGACCAGCGGCAAAAAGTTTTACGGTAAAGGTGAGTGTGAGCGGCCGGCAGCCCCGGGGAGCCCGCTGACAGGTCCCCCGCCGGTGGTGAGTTGTCCTGGAACAAAATTTGGGCGCAAACCGTTATGGGGGGTTAGCTTAGCTTCCCTGGCTTTTGTCTGTGTTTTTGAATGGGGCGCTAGCTGCTAGCTTAGCGGCGCGGCTGTGTGCGGGTTGCGGGCTGTCGTGCCGGAGGTTTAACGTCTTTAAACTTTGTTTTGGAGCCCAGTGGAGCTGTGACACTCTGAAGTTGTCCAGCTGCGGTGGCACGATTTAACGAGCTAGCCTGCTAGCGTTAGCCTGCTAGCTTGTTGACGACTCACTGCACTGTCTGGCTGTCTGAGCTGCAGCTTGTTTACACTGATGGGACTCCGCATGCATCAATATCTGGGGCTCCACATGTCAATTCTGAGCTTAAATGGCACCAGCTGAGTCCCCTTTTGCTCACACAGGAGGCTGGCTGCACGTGGGAAAGATTTAAACACCTAAATGGAGCTCAGGGAGGAAAAATGTGAGCAAATATGAAAAGCAAACATCACACTTGTGCTTCACTTTCATGCTTCAGGCCTCCTTCACTGTACTGAGGGAGAATACAGGGCCAGCCTGCTGCTCAGCATTTTCTCTGACTTGGCAGACTCCCCCGTCAACTCTGTAATAAACTATAATTATTCAAACAGCAGCCAGCTCATGTGTCAGTCTGCTATTCCACACCGACAGCAGGCAGCCAAGTAGGCCTGAATGTGTCCACCTCACCACGCCAGCTCACATCTGAACCTGTACAGTCGCTTTTAATCACACTGGACTTAGTGCTGGGGCTGATAGCTGACGATTGCATGTGTCAGCTGACAGAAGAGGGGAGCTGCAACTCATTAAACTAGTATCAGGTCCAGAAAATGGGGAAAAACATTCATCTGTCACACAAGCTGATGAAAGAAAGCCTCCGTGTTGTTGA